GTGTCAGGGTTTCGAAAACAAAACCATGGCCTGCTACACTGAAGTTGTTTTTTGGAAACATTTGAACGTCAAACTCATTTCTTAGATTATTGCACACTATCCAAAGCCCCATGCACAAATTTAGCCACTTTTTGAGTTGCCTTGCTATTTTTTGAGACATTAACTAATTTTTGGCCCCTAAAAAGGGCAAGACGCTTTGAGCATGCAAACGAGCTCAGAAAGGGATCAAATCTGACATGGTATCTTTATGATACTCCTACATGATGTGGTAAAAAAATTAACACCATTAGGGCAAAAACTTGATGCGCTTCTGTACAAACTAAACAGTCTCCCGCAAAGTGTCAGGGTTTTGAACAGAAACCACTGCCCTCCACACGTTACTCCATTTATTTGAATAATTTGGACTTCAAACTTTTTCCATTAGTAATACACGCCATCCAATGCCCCATACTCAAATTTGAGACTATTCTTGGTTTATTAAATGTGATTTTCTTAGGAATTTTGGGACCTAACATATGTGTGACGGGCGGCTCATAGGGCCCACCACCGCTCACTTATGGAAATTAGAAAAAATATGGCGCATGTTACAGAAATATTGATGCTGCCACTGTTGCGGGACAAATCAAATGCGGGCAATTCTGGCACGCTTGTCACTCTTGCTTTCATCACGTGTGCAAATTTTGAAGAGTTTACGACTGAAGGGTTAGTATTTCTTGTTAGAATACGACAGGCAAATCAACACGATGAAGAACAAAAACAAGCAAGGAGACACGAGATTTTAACATGGAAAACCCCTCCAACACGAAGGGCAGCAAATCTTCACTATATCAGGGGAGTTAGGTTTTCTCTTTATACTTGAATTTGGAACATAACATAACAAACAGAGACAAATTCCATCATGTAGCATGAATGAGAACCTTCTCCCTGAACAACAAAGAAAACACTTTCGGTGCCAAACAACCACTAGGGCTAATCATTGTTGAGGAAATCGTTACCTGGTAGCTGCTCGGTTGGCTGGCGAGTAGGGGATTAATAGGCTAATCAGCAAGTTAATTGGCCATTTAATCAATTAATCAGCTGATTTATTAGTTTATAGGCTACTCGTTGACCCTATGAGTAGGGATTAATTGGCAAGTTAACTGGTTAATCGGACGAATTCTTGAACAGGGGGGCTAATGAGTTATACCAACTAAGTTTAGCAACAAGCACTGGCTTTCTCAGCATATCAGCAGGATTATCATGAGTACTAATCTTGCATACCTTCAATTTACCTTGCTCAACAACATCTCGAACATGATGATATTTGACATCAACGTGCTTTGTTCTCTCATGGAACATCTGATCCTTAGTGAGGTAAATGGTACTCTGACTGTCACAAAACAAGTTGATGCAAGAATTATCTCCACAAAGCTCAATATCCAAACCTTTCAGCCAAACTGGTTCTTTACATGCTTCTGCAATAGCCATGTATTCTGCTTCGGTGGTAGACTGGGCAACTACGGGCTGCAACGTTACCCTCCAACTCACGGCACAACCACCAACTATGAAGACATAACATGTAAGGGACCTCCTCTTGTCCAAATCGCTGGAAGCAAAATCTGAATCCACATAACCAGCTAGTCCCTATCCAGTCCTGTCAAATTTCAAACAAGCATTGGAAGTGCCACGAAGGTACCTGAAAATCCATTGAACAACCTTCCAATGTTCTTTACCAGGGTTAGCCATGTAATGACAAATCAGACCTAGAACACACCATGGCATACATTAAAGAACCAACATCACTGGAATATGAAACTCTTGACATATACTGAAAATCTTCATCATTACTTGGACAATGAGAAGAGGATAATTTAAAATGAGGAGCAATGGGAGTGCTTACTGACTTAGCATCATGCATGTTAAAATGATGAAGATCTTTCTTAATGTAATTCTGCTGACTAAGAAATAACAAACCAAAATTAATGTCCCTCGCAATCTCCATACCTAGAATTTTCTTAGCAGCACCAAGATCCTTCATCTCAAACTTACTACTTAACCGTGCCTTTAAAGTAGTGATCTCTTTCTTGCCCTTGGCAGCAATCAACATATTATCAACATATAATAGCAAGTATATTGGCGATCCATCTAAAAAGTTAATGTAAAACACAACTATCATATGTCTTAAGTCCATGTGCTATCATAAATGAATCAAACCTTTTATAACACTGTGTCGGAGATTGTTTCGAACCATATAGGGAAACAAATTTCTCCTTGCCGGGCACTATGAAATCTTTTGGTTGGTCCATATAAATCTCCTCCTCCAGTTCACCATGCAAAAAAGCAGCCTTGACATCTAACTGCTCAAGCTCAAGATCATGCATAGCAACAATACCAAAAAATGCATGAATGGAACTATGCTTCACAACTAGAGAGAATACATCACTATAATCAATACCGGTATTTGACTAAAACCCTTAGCCACTAACCTTGCCTTAAATCTCGCAGGCTCACTAGGAGACAAACCCTCCTTCCTTTTGAAGATCCATTTGCAGCAAACGGTCTTCTTTTGTTTAGGCAAGCACACAACTTCTCATGTGCCATTTTTCTCAAGTGACCCCATCTCTTCCTGCATAGCAGCAATCCACTTCTCGCGATCACCAAAAACAACCGCTTTAGTGTATGTGGATAGCTCAGGGATGTTCTCAACCTGTTCTGGACAACTGAAAGCATAATGAACAATGCTATATTCTTTAGTTAGGCGTTTAGGTTTGTTAATGACTCTCTTACTTCTGTCGACTGCAAGAGACTGAACTTGTCGTTGCAAAATAGGGGGTGAGTGCTGCACAACATCATCA